ATAACTGGGACAGCCATGGATGTACATGGAGCCGACATAGTGACTAGCGAGGACAGGAACAGAAATATGTGGCTGCTGGCTGATTGTTAAAGATGTCAGAGTGGATTATTCTGGGATGGTGAAGCAGATACAAAATGTCTATCAGAAGTAACACATAAAACCTGTATATTCAGGGACTTCAGAGACAGATCCCGCGCGCGCTAAAAACTTACCCACTGTTATGCTGCAGGGCCGGAGACTGTTGGCGCCCCCCCGCCCACATAAAAGATTACAAATGTTTAAAAAGTCAGTGGCAAATGGATTTGAAGAGTGGTCGTCCACTAATCAGAAGGTTGTTGGTTCGATCCCCGGCTCCAGCTGCTGCGTGTGGAAGCTGTGCATCGGTGTGTGAATGAGTTAGTTTCTGTGAATGTGTGTGAAAGGGTGAATGTGGCTGTAGTGTAAAAAAGGTTGGAAGACAGTAATGTAACAAATCTTCCTCATCTTCTTCTTCATCACTGCTTCCACACACACACTCACACACACACACACACACACACACAGACACACACACATTCCTGAGCTGGTTGCAGCTCGCTGTGTGTGTGTTGATGTTAGTCAGCCAATCAGAAACAGTTTCAGACGTCCCTGTTAGGAGTCCAGCTGTTTTCCCATTTTCGGTCAAAGTCCAGGCAGAGAGTGTGTGTGTGTGTGTGTGTGTGTGTGTGTGTGTGTGTGTCAATGATCCTCTTCACCTCTTCACTGACAGAAAACTGCTGCTGACACTGAAAACAGAAAAAAACTGAAAATGATAATAAATATAGAATAAAATATATGAATATAATAATAATAATAATAATAATAATACAATAAAGTATAATATAGTGTAATAAGAATATTAAACACACACGCGGCTGTGGTCTGTAGCTCTTTACAGATATTTCTGATATTATCAGTGTGTGAAAGTGTGTGTAGCTACAGACCGCTAGCTGGCTTTATGGAAGCTTTTAGCTTAGCAACAAACTGCTAGCTTATCAAACATAGCTTTACCTGTTACAGACAGATAGTATTACTTTATGTTAGATATTGTATACGCTGATGATATGTATATAATATCTAACAGTGTTTGAATAAATCCAAGCTTTAGCGGAAGCTAAGCTAACAGCTGCTGTGTGTGTGCAGTGCTGTACAATATGCACAGAAGAAGGCATGATCAGTGAATGTGAGTGGAAATAAAGAGCAGAAATAAGTGTTGTGGTATGAAGCTATGAAGGACAGTCGCTGTAGGAGGAGCAGAGGAGCAGAGGAGGAGGAAGAGGAGGAGGAGGAGAACGCTGTAACTAAACAAGGACATAGTCACACAGAGAAATACTACAGCACACAGTCTATATGAGCAGTCACACACTTTCCACTGAGACACAAGCAGACCACACCCACCACGTTTCCTCTCCTTACATGAGACAAGAGGAGGAGGAGGAGGAGGAGGAGGAGGAGGAGGCAGAGTCTCCTCTTATTTACTGACCGGCTTCCTTTTTAGGAGTTAAGATACAGACAGATCTCCCTGCTGTCTGTTGTTTTATGTTCTATTCAATCTGTCCTTACTATACTTTTTATACCCGTTCACTTTGTTTCTGTGATGAGGAGTAAAGGAGGAGTAAAGGAGGAGTGAAGGAGGAGTAAAAGAGGAGTAAAGGAGGAGTGAAGGAGGAGTGAAGGAGGAGTAAAAGAGGAGTAAAGGAGGAGTGTCTCTGCTGCAGGAAGTTTTCTTTCACTCGTAGTAAAGTCTCCTTTTAAGGAGAACCTGAGTGGAGTCTGCTGGATGTCTGAAACAGAGAAATGTTACAGTCATCATACAGAGATCTCCCGCTGACACATTCCTCCCCCGGCGGCTGTAAACACTACGATACCCATGAGCCTCAGCAACTGTAGCAATGGAGAGGCAGCCAGTCAATAAAGCTGATCAAACTGCTGAAGGTTTTATCAGCTTTCTACCATTCACAGTATTGATCAGCCCACCGTTAATCTGTAATTGGCTGTTAGTGAAATGCACCCTGGGAGTCGTAGTTCACCTCTCTCCTTCAGTTTTTATATCCACAGACTTTATTGTAGTTTTCTAATCAGGTTGAATTTCTTCTTGTTGTTTGAGGAGGTCGGAACAACAAATTCATTGACTTATAATCAGTTGCATTGGATGGATCTCCTGTTTAAACTGTACTGATCAATAAACTGTCCCAGAATGAGTCTGATATACAGGTACTACAGGTACTACATATATAGTATCTTATATGGAATATAGATTATAGATTATATTATAATCTATAATCTATATATGTATCCTGATTTAGAGTTTGAGAGAGAAACATTATTGAAGTACAAACATTCTTCCTCAGTGGTTCATTCAGACCGACCTCCTCCTCCGTCCTCCTCCCTGCTGTTTGTCTTTTTAAGGAGATAGACCGCTGCCCCCCCCCCCCCCCCCCCCCCCATCGGTTTCTAATATCCGACCACAGGATTCTAAAATATATTAATTAATACTGTAATATAGTCTATATAATACTTTATTGATCAACATCCCATCATGCAGACTTAAGAATCCATTTTTAAACTATTCCATAATGTGACTTACAGACTCTTTATGCCCTTTGCTTACCCTTTCGTCATTTACTCGCTAAGTCAATAATCTCTTTAGTGAACACCTTCATTGTCTCTTGCTGTTTTCATGACATATTGGGAGTATAACAACATCGCTACTAATCTATAAGATGTGACAGACATGACACAAGTTAAAAACCATGCATGACATCTTTGCGGATAAATGTTTATAACTTCGAGCTGAATCATACGCTCCAAATATATGAGATTTGCACCTAGACCATTGTGCTGCCTAAGCGGTGGACATTATAAGAGGAGGCGTCATCAACGTGCACAAATATAGATATCTAAAGAGACCACAGAGAGTGTGTACGGCGTTTTGATAATGGAGTGGATTGATCCATAAAGATATTAACCCGAGACTGTCAGAAACCAGTATCCTTCTAACTGGTTCCAAATTTCCTCTCGAACACAGTCACTACGCTGCTAACTTGGTCAGATGACTTCAAAAGAGTTGATTGTTTCTCTTTTATTGGCCTAACTTCTCCAAGAGGAGAACATGATATAAAATTCTAACGTGCACTGCCTCTAAGCGCGGATCAACTGTAAACTTCTTCTAGGTTTCAAAGCCTTCTCTTCGAGTGCGCAAATGTTGCTGAGCGCCTAGATAACTTTGGTATACAGCGTATGTAACTTGTCCACAGCCAATACACAAATCATGTAACAACTCATGGGGTATCAGAGCTCTAGCAACCTGTGGCAGATGTGCGGAGCTCTGTGCGGTTCTGATGCGAACATGAGACGCGATGTCTCACGTAGGCCAAAGAGTTTGCGTCGCTTGGCAGAACTAAACAGGTCATCAATATGAAGGAACTGTCTTGCCCTGCAAGGTAGTTAGGCTTTTAACCATTTATTTGTACAGAAGCTGTATTACAGTAAGGACTGTAGAACTTTAGTTGTAGCACTGTAGTGCCTCCATTATTCTCTATGTAAAACAATCTTTCTGCATTTTAGTGGTGTTTGCAGTCACTGATAAGTGTGGATGGAAATGTGCTACTTAGCACATGCTTCCAGTGGGTGATTGCACAGTGCTTTGCGTACGACATGCTTTGCGATACAAGCCCGCAATCTGCAAGGACTGAATCGGCCAGCCAGGGAGGAGAATGAAGGGAGCAGGGGAAGCACGCAGCATGGTTGGGAAGTGAGGAATCTCAGGATGATGATGTAGTATTGCTCAGGCCTGCGAGCGAAAGAACAAGCCGCCCTTTCAAGTCTCGACCAGGGGAGAGGAGGGAAAGGAAAGAAAATAAATGAAAAGTGTGTAGGATTTTGAGTGTAGTGTTCTGTGTTGAATGATTATCTAAACTCAGAACAAAATGACAGACATGTTACTACTTCCTTTATGCTGGTAAAAAAAGGGAAAAAGGTACGTCGAACAAAATTGACTAAAAGAAATGCTCTCATAATTATTAAAAGTCTAGCTCCAAGAAGGGCCCATTCTTGTTGTTTATTTCTGTAATTTAGTCTCACACATTGTCTGCTAGCGATACGACTAAACGGTGTGGGATCGGTGGTGTGATTCAAATAAATCTATCTAGAAACAATAATTCACAGTGCCATGAATGAGGCGCGAAGGTATGAGAGAGAGAAAGCTAATTCAAAAGATACAGTAAATAAAACCAAAGGGTTTAATATATGAACACCACGCAGACTGAGCAATATCATAATACTTATTTTTCCCCCCACACCCCCTCTACTCCTATGCGCGTGACTGTATTAGGATCCCCTCTCTCACTCATTATTAAATAACACCTAAACGGGAGGTATAATACTGATAGCAGCTTTATGTTTGTACTATATTCATAGTCCAATCGCTCATACATCTCTC